AGACAATACATTGAACCAATCAAAACTCGAAGTAATTACATGTGGCTGACGCAAAGCGCGGGAAAATGCATGCGAGCGCGTCACAATTGGCTTTGGTTTTACTTCTGATTGGATGAAAAGGTGGCGCGAATCTTTTAAGCCAATCGCATCGTGTAGAAAGTGCAAAACCAATTACTTTTCGACACTCAAATGAAAACCGCTCTATGGCAAGAAAACTTTCTGGTTTTGTGATTTATTCATCTTTAAAAGATGGCGCATTTACAGCAGTTGAAAGGGATGTAGCGTTTCGAAACTAGTATGTGAAAAGGGTACCATTTGTCAATAAAACTGAAGGTATATGAAAGGGGTACCCCCTGGGCGCCATCTCCTTCAGTCTTTTAGTTCTCTCCCCGTGTTAAAGGCTCGACTAAGGCCACAGATAAAAGGTATTTTTCATCATCTGCGCTGCAGCCTGATTTATGGCCACCAATTGAGTAAAAAGTGAAGATAAAGCAGTAATTAAGCAGTAGAAAAGTTGTGGTAGATAACAAAGAGACTATAAAGACAAACGATGAACGAGACCTAACATACTAACTTTTCTACTGTTTAGGAAATAAAACGCGCACATTATAAGTTCAGTCCTTTTATTCCAAAATTATTACTTTTTTCCCCATTAACTAGGTATCTCTTTCGATTACCCGTTGTCTTTTTTAAAAAATTTAACAGCAGTTATTATTAGCAATACTTTCAATTTAAATTATTTAACCTATGTTTACTACAAGTATCTTTTCCCCAGGGCTTTAACTGCGCAAAGGAACAAAGCGGAAGGTTGGAAACTTCCACGCTCCAGACCAACAGCGCTAGGATAACGAGCGACGGCAGGGGACGAGTCAGACTCACAATCGACCCAAACCGTTATCAGCACTATCAAGAAATAAACTATATTAATTCTATAATCAATAAAACAAACAAGAAAACGTGTTAAGATAAATGTCGATTCAGCACTGGATGAGAATCAGCGAAAATTAGTTAAGCAGCATTTTAAGGTTTTGGTGGCATGAGCAGTTGAGAATGTTGCTATTGCGACGCTCCGCCATAGCATTGCAGTCCAACTAAACCCTTAACCATGTTGAGCCCCAATATCTACATACAATTTCTCCAGACTGATTTCATTCGTGTCTTATAGAATTAGTTGAGAGAATTTGGTAAAAGATCGAAGCATTTTCCTTAGGCTATGGTACAATTATCATAACCTTTACTCTTATCGTTATGTTGATAATTGATGTTGCTCACTTATGGGGCAGAGACTTAAAGAGACGCGATAACGGTTATGCGCATGCGCGCCGTTTGTCTCTTCAGAATAAATTTGTTGGGTCAACACTAAATTCGAAATCGCCATTACTGGTACAATCATCGAAAATCCTTCGTTTTATTCCGACATCCGTCGCTTTGGCTGGTCTAGTTATAGTTCGGTAGTGGTGATTAACGTGTGGTTCTGTTTCCATGTGATCGCTACGATCGTTACGATCGCTATAGCGATTGATGGCTTCCATGTAATCATGTATAATGATCGCTGCGATCGCCGAGAAAGTGAACAAAGATCAAAGGGACCCGTGTCTAACAACAGCGTTTACTCCGGTTCAATTCAAAGTCACGGTGACACCAGCTCTCCCGGAACCACCGATTTCTTTCTCTTCAAAAATCTCCTCAGGACCTCAGTCAAATTTCTTTCCATTTACTTTCCAGCGGTTGTTTTTCTGCTCTCGTCTTAATATTCCTTGAAAATTTGCTTTAAAGATTAAGACAGTCACATCTTTGCGCATTTCCCATAAAAGGACCAAATTGCACGCTTTCACAGCGTTAATCTTGAAATGAGTTCACTCATTTCAAACGTACGCAGTGCTTTCTGGTATTTTTGTTGTCGCTTCGATCGCTACGATCACTACGATCAGTGTATGGAGGGTGTTTTCCATATAATCGCTACAGTCGCTACGATTGCTGGGATAGAACTCAGCGATCGTTGTCGCTGAGATCGCTGGAGAGTGGTTTCCATATGATCGCTACGATCGTTGAACCTCTTTTTCCAGCGATGGCAGGTATCACATCGATCGTAGAGATCATATAGAAAACAGGCTTTAAAAGATTAAGGTGATTATATGTTACTTCTCTCAGTCTAGAAATCTTCATAACAATGTTGACGTTGACCTTAATGGGAAGAAGTTTGCGGATATCTTCAAAAATGACGTCAGTTCATCGGATAATAGACCTTGTCACGGTTTTCGACGCCATCTTGACGAGTAGGCAAACGTGTGAGAAATTACAGCGTTTGTATGAGAATCTAATATCGAATAATTGCCTAAAAAGGCTGTTCTGAAAAAATATGAATTGTAAACTAAAGCTTCACTCGTAAAGTCTGAACTGGGGGCGTTCCATGCGCTAGAAGACCTAAAACCACGTTTTTGAATTTTCTATACATTTGTCTGTAAATAAAGTCCCGGGAAAAATTACAGACAAATATATGGAAAATCTAAAGCAAGCGTCTGAAGAAACTTAAGCAAAGGTACGCCCCCGAAATTTTTTAGTACAATCCTTTGCTTTGCAGCTTTAGTTTACAATTGATATTTTTTTCAGAACAGCCGGTTTACGGAAATTATGCGACATTAGATTCTCATACAAACCCTGTAATTTCTCACACGTTTGCCTACTCGTCAAGATGGCGTCGAAAACCGCGACAAGGTCTATTGACCGAAGACAGTAGAAGGCGCGGTGGCTCAGCTGTTTTGTTGCTAATTATTTTTGTCATTGCAGTCATTATCATTACCATTATTATTACTTTTTTTTACAAAAGAACTGAAACAGGGAAGAAGTCTTTAACCCTTTAAGCCCCAATATCCACATGCAAGTTCTCAAAACTGATCTCCATACATTTCCTTACAGAATTAGTTGAAACAATTTATTAAAAGATCAAAAACATTTTCCCTGAAGTGATCACTTTATTTATTCTCCTAACCTTTTCTCTTGATTATGTATTGATAGTGTAAGGAGAAAATTGATATTGGTCACTCTTGGGACTTAAGGTGGCTTCCCAGAGTAAATTGGCCGTGCGCAGCCTGAGCACTAGTATGGCGCGAGCTTTAAAATCCGCGCGCCGTCCACGCAAAGACAAAGTAACTAGATTTCGTTCTGTAACGTATGCTTGATAGCTAGGGTTATTAGTAAATACTCTAGGGAGCCACCTTAAAGGGTTAACAGAAGGCGTTATTCAACACAAGAAAAACTATGTGATTTGTGCTTTTTCATGCACAACTTTGCAGCTTATAAAGATGAATTAATTTTCAAAACGTTTTCTCGTTTAAAATGATAGCCAATCATAATCTATTGGAAAGAGCGACACTGTCCTATGAACTTAATAAGGGTATCTATTGGTAATAACAAGCACCTGATGCATTTCTTGGTACGTAGTGACTAAATTGTTATGTCGGTGACACTCGGAGTCTCTCGATCTCGCTCACCATGAATGGCACGCTCGGCACTGAAGCTTATGGTCAGATTTCCGTTCTTAGGATCCTTTGTGTAACCTTTCATGTATTCAATGAACGCCTTTTCCCACGCCATAGCCTTCTTGAACTTGGTTGTATCCTTATGGTTATTTACAACAAAAGTGATAATTAAGGTTGTAGCATTCTGGTACGTTTTACCGTCAAATCCATCTAGCACCATGTCAGGCATAATAGGTCCTCCGTATGCAGAAAGGCAAGATTCCTTTAATTTCAAATTATCATCTGATGTTGGAGAACTGAAAAAAGAGCGATGCCGTTCAGGTAAGAACTTTTTTCAAGATGTACTCTTATCNTACTCTAGGGAGCCACCTTAAAGGGTTAACAGAAGGCGTTATTCAACACAAGAAAAACTATGTGATTTGTGCTTTTTCATGCACAACTTTGCAGCTTATAAAGATGAATTAATTTTCAAAACGTTTTCTCGTTTAAAATGATAGCCAATCATAATCTATTGGAAAGAGCGACACTGTCCTATGAACTTAATAAGGGTATCTATTGGTAATAACAAGCACCTGATGCATTTCTTGGTACGTAGTGACTAAATTGTTATGTCGGTGACACTCGGAGTCTCTCGATCTCGCTCACCATGAATGGCACGCTCGGCACTGAAGCTTATGGTCAGATTTCCGTTCTTAGGATCCTTTGTGTAACCTTTCATGTATTCAATGAACGCCTTTTCCCACGCCATAGCCTTCTTGAACTTGGTTGTATCCTTATGGTTATTTACAACAAAAGTGATAATTAAGGTTGTAGCATTCTGGTACGTTTTACCGTCAAATCCATCTAGCACCATGTCAGGCATAATAGGTCCTCCGTATGCAGAAAGGCAAGATTCCTTTAATTTCAAATTATCATCTGATGTTGGAGAACTGAAAAAAGAGCGATGCCGTTCAGGTAAGAACTTTTTTCAAGATGTACTCTTATCTAAAACCAAGAATGTCTTAGATTCTGGATTCCACGCAGTGAATTCCAGATTCCAGGAACTGGATTTAGTTTTGTCAGTGGAACTCAGATTCTGGATTCCAATTCCAATCCTTAGTAGGATTCCCGGGATTCCTCGAGCTGTATTCCGGATTCAAAAGCCCAGGGTTCCGGATTTTCCCGGATTCCCGATTCTACAAGCAAAAAATTTACCGTATTCAGGAATCCGGATTTCCTTACGTACATGGGGCGAATTCATAACTCTTTATCTCAACTACAGTTTGTCACACGAACATACCGTAAAATTCTGAAAATAAGCCCCGGGGCTTATATTTTTCAAAGGCCCTTTTTGAGGGGCTTATTTTTGGAGGGGCTTATATTCGGAAGGGCTTATCTACGGAGGGAAATTTGCGTTTCAAAATCGATTGGGCTAGCCTTATAGTTGGAAGGAAATTTACCGTTTTTGCTTTGTTTTACTTTATATTTGAGGTCAATTTCCAAGTACAAGCCCCCCGGGAGCTTACATTTGGAGGGGCGATTTCAAGGAGGGTTTTTTGAGTTACCGGTTTGGGGGGTTTATATTTGGAGGGGCTTATACCTGGAGGGGCTTATTTTCGGAATTTTACGGTAAAACCCTGCAAATGATGTAAAATCCTTCAGTAAGTCCCATTTTAAACATGTTTAAAAGCCGTCAAGTTAAACACGGTTTCAACTTGTTTTCTTTATAAAAGCTACCAACTGTACTTTTTTCGACTGCAAATTTAGTGCAATTACGTAACGTGTTAAAGTTCATTTGAATTCTGTGTAAAAAGTCTGTGTTGTATTTTTTTGATACTGATTTTTATCAAACATGTTTCGTTGGTGTGAATGGGGCATTTTGGGGGTAATGTTTCCAAATATCTCAGAGAGTTTCGAATGGTTTTCTTTTCACTTTAGAAGCCTATTTGGTTGGTTTGCAGTGGCGGATCCAGGAGAGGGGCCCGGGGGGCCCCCCCCCCTAATTTTTCGACCAAAAGGACGCCCGTAGAGCCGCAAAAAAAATTTGGGGCCCCGGCCCCCCCTTTACCCAAAATTCTGATGCCCCCCCCCCCCCCTTTTTCGAAGGGCCGGGCCCCCCCTTTTCCCAGGGTTTAGATGCCCCCCCCCCCCCCCCCTTATCTGAAGGTCTGGATCCGCCACTGGTTTGTGAGTGCCCAAAAAACTATCTATCTGTTCGGATGTCTTAAACTTTGGCTGCATGTTTAAGGTTTTTGGTAGCTTTTTCGTGTCTTTTGAAAATGTTGAAGGGGTGTTCCTTTATTACTAGTCATTTGTTGACAGTTGTGTTGTTTCTCCCAGCTAATCTAGACGGCATAAAAGGCGTTAGCGCTCCTCGCTCGCTTGGCGCTTTCCTTCGCTCGCCCAAAAAACGGCTGGCATCTCATTTCGAGGGGTTAGGTTGCAAGCCCATATCACTGTTAGGTGTTTCTTGTCACAACAAAAGAGACAAGAATTATAGGTGCTTATAGGTGATGACTTACTCGTGTCTAAAATAGGTCAGGATTACACCGTTTTTCAGTTGCCTAGAAGCCTACAAACTTTCACTTCATTCCTGCATTCATGTCTCAGAACACAATATTAATCAAATGCGCTCTATAGCAAGCTTACCTTGTGCAATCCAGAACATGATCATGGTAGTCATATACATTAAGGTCATAGGATGGTTTATCATCGCAGTCATACCCCAAGAGCGATATACATTTGTTCAGTCTGGTTTTGTTGTTCTGGAAATACTGAAAGAGGCTCTCGACTGCACACACATTTGTCTTCGGCTGAAAGCAGATGTCCTGGAGTCTGACTGTTTCGCCATCTTCTGTTTCCACAGTCATGTTGGCAATACAATTTTGCAGATCAAGAGCCTGTAGAATGAACATAATTTACGTGTAAAGTTTATAATTGCTGCCATGCTTATAGCTCAGATCGGTTGGGCACTAGTATGCCAAGCTAGGGGCCTTTAAAACACTGGTAAGGTCATGCTAGCTTTGATCTCTTAAGAATAAGTGAAATCCAACTAGTGATCTATTATTATATGCTGCATTTTGATTGGTTGAGCTACCACTAGGCTATATGATATAGCGAAAAGCGCCGGCTTTGAAAACCAAACAATGGCTTCAAGTCTAGCTTTAACCAGCTAAAGTTGTTTTGTATCGATATTTTTGACCAGCTGGTTGGATTTTACTAAAACAATAATTCCTCTGGCCCTCATGGCCTTTGAGTCAATAGCCCATGAGGCCTTCGGCCTCCATCACAGGGTCTGACAAAACAGAGGGGGTCAAAACATTTTGCCAACAGTAGACACAGGGCAAGTGGCAGGTAAAACTTATTTGCCTAGGATAATTCACGTAATTTGGAAGGCAAAACTAACAAGAACATGCAAACAAAGAAACTAACATTACAAATGAAAACGTGATACTTGAATTACAAAGCGTTTCATTAATTTTTTGTAAATATACAGTTACTTCAATCACAGAACTTCAAGCCGTCTTTTATTTTCATCAATACAGCAGCAGGGGATTGCTTCCGGGCATAACAAAGCACAATTGTATTTTACAAAAAATTCATAAAAACGAGCAACGAATCCATTGTCAGCCAGGGAAACACCTCTTCCATCTCGTTTCGTTTCGAAATTTTCGGCCTCCGCTTAGGCTCGATTGCCAATCGAGTCTAGCTTCCGCTTTGAACTGTTTTTGGTACTTGGATTACGAGCTCACCTGCGTAGCAGGTGCATGAAAGTAATAGATAGCTTAAGCGGGTAAGACTACAGACCGCAGAACGGTGGAAGCTGCGGAACCGGCGGAACCTACAGCTAACCTATGGAACCTAAAGAAATTACTGTTTTTATTACAACTACCTTTGGGTAACGTGATAAAATAATTAGTTACAACTATTTTTTTACAATAACTAAGCAATTTCTCGCCCGCTGATTGGTCGAGAGCTATTGTCGATAACAGTACAGACCATGGAAATAAAGTGATTGTGGCGAAGTTTGTTTTTCTCTTTCTCATGAGCGATGTTCCGCGAAAAGTCAGCGAAAATGGACGACAAAAACTGTCAACAATTTTTCATGGTCTGTTCTCTTATCGACCATAGAAATGATGTCAAGAGATAGATTTATTATTTTAGAGTTTTGCTGCTGCCGCTCTGTTGTAGTAAACTAGACTCAAAACGTCCGAAAATAGACAAGGGGAAAAATAACCTCGAAGGTGACCCCCCCCCTTTATTAGTGTTATTCACTCTCTATTTGGGTACAAAAAATATACATATTTTAAGAAGAAACAAATTTGGATATTAGAATTTGTATTGTTTGGTATGTATGATTGCAAAAGTCTACTTTTAGATCCACAGGGATCCTTAAGGTAATGATAAAATGGCAAATTAAAATTATTTTATTGAATTTAGATTATATAGCCTCCCAAAATGAATATAAGGTTCTAGATTTCAGTAATATCAAGAGAGAATGAGCTAGATCATTCTCTCTTGGCAATATTCATGGTTTTTGCAATATGATAAAAATTATTTTTGAAGTTTGTTAAAGTTTTCAACATTCCATACCAAACTCAGAAATAACAAACACTTAGAATACCAGGCACGCAGGGTGAAAACAAACAGTTTGTGACCCCATCTTTTTATTGCAGATTTTCGATATCCTATACCATGACTATTAATTGTGTCAAGTTTGAAAAAGATCTGGATAGTGTATCCGTTTCAAGGGAATTACTTGATGAGTCTCGTAGGAATGGATGGAGTATTCGGAATTGAGACACAACAATCGAGAATCGAGTCGTGATTCAAGCGAGGACCAAGAATCGAGTGGTAACTTACCTTATAGCGTTACTCAGTGCAAAAACATTTAATAAAAACCCACCCCTCTTTGCTGAAAACTTAATTATAGCAGGAGCTCCTGATTATAGCAAACAGTTTATCTTCAAATGAATATTGCATCATTAATGTACATGTATAGTAAATTACTGGAGAATGATCCGTAGGAGGAAATTACTAACGGGATCAAGAAGAAGCGGCTCTTTTATAATTATGATGGAGAACAGGGATTGAACTTACTTTAAAGTATGCCAGATGGTTGAAAGGAGGGGACTTATTTAGGTATAAAGGATGCTAAAATATATTAGAGTATACACAGGGGCACCCAACGTCAATTTTGGGAAAATATCTGCTCGGAAGACGATTTGAGATCTAGAATTTTCGGAACGTTTGTTGTAAAATTTCTTGTTTGACTCCCTCTCCTAGGATTTTCGAACATCTAAAAAATGGTATAATTGCCCCTTTTTAACGGATTCTTACCCGAAAAAGATCACCTAGAATTTTGGGAGCCTTTTTTCTGGTTGAGATTTTTGAAAAGGTAAGTTTTGATCCCTATAATTTTTGGATCACTAGACTTTCAGCAAGGAAATCCGAACAGATGAAAAATTTTTTAGGGGATAAAACTATGCCTATACATACCGTTTAAATACTAAAATACGTTTAACAATGCTATGTTTAAGTGGTTTTGAACTATATTCTTGTTAGGTGCCCATGTGTACAGGGTTCATTTATAAGAGAAAATACAATGTAACAGTGTCAAAATACAGAGGTACACCACAAACTTACCTGATTTAGTAAATCTAGATGGAAGATAGGCCCAAATGGAATAAAATTATTATAGGGAAACTGATGATATCCACCTGGTAGATTCCTCGTTGGTCGAATAATAAGCTGTTCAGTGCGAAAAAATGGATCAAACTTGGATCCGTAAATTTCTTTTTCCTTGCGCGCCACACTGTTTCCATCCTGTTTTCAAAATAACACCAAGGATCAAATTAATAAACCATTTAAAAAGTGTTGCTGTTATTTTGGAGCTTAAAAAGTATAGCCACACTTAGGAACGTTTTATTACGGCATGTGCCCAAATGTTGGAACAATAACCCAACTTAACTGGAATGAGTCGATACTACGTCAAATTTTGAGAAAAATTTTCTTAATTACGAGTGGCATGCAAAAGTAATTGTTATAAACATATCCATTATCGTACTAAACATCACTATAAACCGTATTTATGGTCCTCACTGTAAAGCAAATTAATACACGTAATTTCACGAACCGTTAGGCGAGTGAAATTTGAGACAATTTTGAAATATCACGAGTGGTATTTATGCCAAATAGCGCGTACAAATCATGCTATTATTTGTTTATACTACTAACCGCAAAAGGTTTGTAATTTTCACATGTAGGTAGTTCAAATTAAGCTGAAATACCACTGCTCTAAGCCAATCAAATTGCAGAAATTTCTCGTGTAGTGGTATAATGATATATGATTATATAGTTAATTTTGCAAATCAGCGCCAGGCGCGGATCTAGGATAAATACTGACCGATTTCCTAAACGAGGGGCCGAGGGAGCAAGCTTCTAGGGGAGCCCGGATGCACCCCCGGGAATTTTTTTTGGGTTTAAACTCCCTGAAGTTCCCTTTCCCCGGTTTCTGTCTAATGCCCGTAAACTGGGTAAAGAAAACATTTGTGCAGACCATTTTCCAGATTTCAACTTGGAAAGTTCTACAACTATTAAAAATATATTTATTATGAAAAACCTGACCGATTTCCGTAAAACGGTGGAAACCGGTGTGGATCCGCGCCTGAGCGCAACAAATGCAGTGCTTGCAGATTACATTGAGATTAATGACTTATCTGCAGGTTGCGCGCGCAATGCATGATTTCCAAGAGCAATAACAAACTGTGTTCCATGCGATGCCGTGCTTGTCCTTATTTTGTTCAAAACAATGTTCACAAAGTATAATACTCTTCTCAAACGAGAGAAAGATGGGCACTATTTTAAATTGGGACATTTCCTCAATTCACCCAGTCCCCTACGATCCCACAGCCCCCTAAAATTTAACATGACAGTAAAACAAGACAAATTTGACCTAACCGGAAATTCCGAAAATTATTCCTGTTTCTTAAAGCTGGCAAGGAAAATTAAGTTTAAGTTTTATTTTGTCTGATATCGCATTAAAAGCTCTTCAAACTATCCAGGTGAATATGTTTCTGTTCAACGGGACAGCAGCCCAATGTACCCCCATTATGGGGATATTGTTTTATTGCGAAAGGCCAAGGAAGATTACGTGCGCAGTTGTTTGTCATCTAAAATTACTTGGGGGTCGAAAGCACTGAACAGCTACATTTGTTGTTTTCACAGATAAAAATTAACAGTTGTGTCCTGTTTGAGAGCACTACTGCCTGGTACAAGCCCCAAACGATAGAACACACCTAACATGGAGCACTGTCGACCTAGCATAACCAAACAGCATCTGACACCGGTGCCATTTCGTTAGCCTGTTCCAGGCTACTCATTAGGGACTTTACGATAGGACGACGCGAAGGCAGCGAAAACGTCGCTTCAAAAATGAATTTGTGTTCTTTTGGTCTTTATCGCGATTATTCCAACTCACTTACTTCGTCAAATGTAGGCGAACCCTCCCGGAGTTGAATTTCTAAGAACCATATTCAAGTTTAGAAAGAGAATAAAATTTCGTCGTGGCCTGTTTACGTCCTCCAGAAAAAGTAAAATTAGGCAATTTCACGTCGTAATCGTGCAAAAACGGAAAATGAACTGTACCAAAAAGTGAGATGCACGTGCAAAGTTGTTGTTTTGCCTACTAAATCTGTCCCTGTTTTTGACGTTCTCTTTGCCGTCGCGTCGTCGGATCGTAAAGTCCCCATTCTTACACTGCATGGGAACTAAATGTAGATTAATTCAACATTAGAAGGGACATATATGTTTTTTTTTGTGGTTGTTCCAAAATGGAAAAACCGTTCTTGCAGAGTATTTGTCATAATGGACGTTATTTAATGGAGAGACCCACCTGTGCGAGTACGGTCATCATAAACACGGCCACGATCGAGCGGAGAAACAGCGCTGTTAGAGCCATATCTCTTATCTTTTACAAAAATTATATTTAATCGATAACTGCTTGGTTATTTTTTCCGGACAGCTTTCAACTGAGGCGACAATTCCTTACACAACAGAGGTCAAATCTGGACTGCGCGAAGGCGTCTCCTAGCTATTTCCTTTTCGTTTAAGTATGCAACAAAGGAAATATGAGAGGTCCGGACGCAGGCTTATCAAATCCGGTCAGAATATCGTCAGAGATGGAGAAAAGTCCATCACAGCTGATTTCTAATTGGTAGATTGC